GCGGCCGCCGCCTCGCCTCATCCTCTCCTCCAAAGTGTCCTACTGTTCCTGCTGCTGCGTGTCTTCCTGCCCCTCCTCCTCATCATCCTCCATCTATTTCCTCCCTGTCGCAACCCTGGACGTGTCGGAAAGGCGGGCCGGGCGTTTCGCCTGAAGCCTTTCACCCCTCATGATTCTGAATTTTGCCATTTGAAACGGATCCACTGATGAATGGTGGACCGTTTCAACAGCGTTGCTCTCACACTCGTCTTCGAAGTTTGCACTAACTTCGCGGATGGAGGGCGGGCCTTTTTCAAAATGTTGTTCTCGCAATACTGCCACGCGCATTCGTCTTAAGAGTTTGCAACAATTTCACGGATGGAGGGTGCGGCCTTTTCAGAATGTGGTTGTCGCCATAGCGCCGCGCAAATTCGTCTGAAAACTGTACCGCGGCTTCACGGATGGACAGCGGATTGTTTTCAAAATGCGGTTGTCGCCCCAGCGCCGCGCACGATCGCTTGGAAAGATCGCAACAGCTTCATCGATCCGTAGGAGTAATGACCCAGGAATGGTGCATGGTGTTGGGGCACGGTTCATGATTGTCAGGACGCACCAATCGAGTTCATTGACTGTGCTGAAGTCCCAGGAATTATGTTCTGGCGCGCTTTCGGGTTGTCAGGACGCAACAGTCACATTAATTCGCGGCGATGAAATCCCAGGAATGGTGTTTCGGCACGATCGAGAATATTCCAGCGCTGTCTTCCATACGGGTATTTCCAGCAATGAAGACGAAGTCTCATAAGAACCTACGAATAGGGAACCTGGAGGGAGGGTGCACTGCAAAATCGTTGATGCGTTTTTGGCTTACACTCGTCCTCATCCTCCGCCTCCTCGTCCTCCTCCTCCGTTCCCACCCCTTACAAATTGCTCCCCCCTGTCGCACACCCAGACGCGTCGGCAAGGCGGGCGGGGCGCGTCGCGTGAGATTGCCATCACTGTGCCAAGAAATTCCCACACCTACGAGAATCACGAGACGCGGCCGCAAGGGACACCTCACCTAAGTGTAATTCACCATGTCCTTGCACGGCAGGTACGGGCCCAACGTCCTTGTCCTTTGATCAAGATCTCGCTCGGGTCCGCCACCATCACGTGCCCAGTCCCATCATCCCCGAGGTTTGCGACACAGTTGCGAGACCTCGCAGTGACCACTTCGGCTGCTAACCAGCACCTTGCCAAGTAATTCCCATATCTGCAAGAAAGGGGTCCACAGGCAAAGGTTTATGTTCATGCTCTTGTTATACACCTTGTACTGGCAGGTTACGCGGTAAAAGGTCACATGTTACACCGTGGTGATGTGGAACGTGTGAACACGGCTAGAAAGTGTCCAGCAAGCACATGCATTAGGATACATACGTGTGTGGACAGAAGCGCCCAGCTGGAGGGAGGGCGCGCGCGAGCGGGTCTTTCCTTACCTCTAAGCACAAATAGTTATGGTAAGATGTCGGTGACAGGCGCCGCCAACCCTCTATTGGAGGGGATAAGCGGCGGGACAAATGAAGGCGAGGGGAGCGTTAGTATGACTTTGCCTCACCACTCGTTGGCCTGAAGCTTGGAACCTGCAACCGTTTCAAGGATGGCAGGAGGGTGGTTTTCAAAAAGTGGCCCTCGCCTAAGCGACGCGCACATTCGCCTGAAAGTGCGTAGCAGTTCTACTGATGGAAGGTGGGTTGCTTTCGAAATGTGGCTCGCGCCTGAACGCCACGCATATCCGTCTTAGCAGTTCCATGGATGGAGGGCGTGTCGTTTTCAACATGTGGTTTTCGCCATAGCGCCGCACGCACACGTCTTACATATGTGTACGAGCTTCACGGATGGAGGGAGGGTCGTTTTGAAAATATAGTTCTCGCCACAGCGCCGCGCGCCTTTGTCTTAACAGTTTGCAACAGATTCAAAGCTGGAAGGCAGTTCTTTTCAAAATGTGGCTCTCGCCGCAGCGCCGCGTACAACCGTTTTTAAATGTTGCAGCAGTGTCACAGATTCGTACGGTTGAAATCCCGATAGCTGTGTACCGGCACGATCTAGACATGTCAGGACACAACAACAACTTTCATTCGCGGAGTCGAAGTCCCGCGGCTGGCGTTCTGGCACGATTGAAAACTGTCAGAGCACAACCATCACTGATGCGCGGCGTTGGAGTCCCACGACTGGCGTTCTGGCACGAAGAGAGACTTTCAGACGGCTGTTATTCAGTGAAGCACTTCCCGCAGAGATAATAAATGCTTCCAGGGATCTTCGAACAGGGAACTTGAAGGGAGGGTTTCTTGCGACATCGTTCATGCGTCTTGGATCTACACTGGTCCTCCTCCTCCACCTCCCCCTCCTCCTCCTGGTCCTCCTCTTTATCCGCCCTCCTTCAAATTTCCTCCCCTCATCCTCCTTCTCCTCCTCCTCCTCCTCCTCCTCCCCCTCCTCCTACTCCTCCTCCTCCTCTCTGACCTCCCCCTTCCACCTGTTAAGTACTAAGATCCCTCTGGCGCGCGCGGGTATCATCCAGGGCTGGCGCCCCGTCGTGCACGAGGACGGCGGGGGCCTTGTCGCGAGGCCGGAGACTTGCACGGCCGGGCTCAGCAAAGAAGGAACCGTCAAGGGTCTGGAGCAGCCTGGGCACATGCCTCAGCGAAGGCCCCCACCGTACCTGCGCACTTGCACGGAGGTGGAGGGGGCACTGGGGCGTGGCGAGGCCGGGGAGGGAATCTGGACTCCGCGCAAGTCGGGACTCGATTGCACGCCTTTTCGGCCCAGCGCTGCTTGTTCCGAAAGTCGGGAGGAGGCCCGAACCCCCTCTCGTCCTCCTCGTCGTCGTCGTCGTCATGGTCGTCGTCGTCGACGTCGCCGTCGTCGTCGTGTGCGATTCCGTCGGTGGGGCGGGCGGGCGGGATACGTCGTCGACGTCGTCGTGGGCGAGTCGGTCAGGTGAGCGGGCGAGACACGTTATCGTCGTCGTCTTCGTCGTCGTCTTCGTCGTCGTCTTCGTCGTCGTCCTCCGCATCGTCCTCGACGTCGTCGTCGTCGTCGTCGCTTGCCAGCGCTAGGCGTTGTCGCCGTCGTGCTCCTCGCCCTCGTCGTCGTTTGCCAGCGCCAGGGGGGCAGGATGTCTCGAACCCCTCCGCACTCCCCCGCCCCCCCCGCCATTGTGTGGGCGGGGGGTTCCAGACCCGTCTCCCAATGTTCACTGCGGCGAGGGGGGGAGGGATCCGAAACCCCCTTTTCCACCCGACCCTTGAAGGGGGCGGGGGGGGGGTCCTGACTCCCCCCTGAATTCCTCCCAGCACACTCAGGAGCAAACACCGAGAGCAGTCCCCAAGAGCAGTCCCCAAGAGCACACAGCCAGAACACAAAGACATATATATATATATATATATATATCGAACGCAGGCCCCAAGAACAGACACAAAGAACAGGCGTCAACGACAAAGTGCAAGAGCATACATCAAGCGCAGACCTCGTTACTAGACATCAGACAGCAACACACAATAATACCAGATCACCAGAACAAGCACCACGAAGCGAAGCCAAGACCATACATCTAGAATAGGCGCAAATAACGCAATTGCATTATATTAGTGTGCACCAGCTACACATCGGATGCACACAAACCTGACCTAGATCCAACAATATACATTCACAACAAACACCCATAACATACATCAACAGCAGACATCAGCAACAAAATTCAAGAACGGGAATCCAGGACAAATAGTAACCGTAACACACAATAGCACCATTCATCCATAACATACGCCAGGAAGCGAAGCCAAGAGCAAACATCAAGCATTGGCGCCCAGGCATAAACATCATGCAAGAACTAAAGTCCCAATAGCAGGCATCGAAAACGTGCACCAAGAACACACAAGTAAAACACCAGCTACATATATCGATCGCACACAGTAACATAACCCAAAAAGCGGCATCTACAACACACCGCAGTGATTGGTCTTAGATATACATCTGTATACATATACATCAACACAAAACAGTATGCACAGACGTGTTGATGCATTGAAACTCATGCGCGGGGATCGCTCGAAGCAACATAACAAGGATATGCCTGTTTCGCTGTGTTGGTCGAGGCATTGGCTGGCCATAGGACACGTTATCAGTGTTCGCTCCTTCTCCTCCTCGTCCTCCTCCTCCTCCTCCACGTCCTCCTCCTCCTCATGTACCCTCCGCATGCTGCTGCTCATCATGTTCTTCCTGATACTCCTGGTCGAGCGGCCTGTTCCTGTACAACGCCCTAGTCCCCGCGTCGCCTCCGCCTCCTGCTCCTTCTGCTCCTTCTGCCCACCCCCACTCACCACTTCCTGGGCACTGTGCCCCCGAGCATCAGGCGATCGTACACATGGATTAAGGGGGGCGTGGATTAGCGACGGGTCCAGTTTCCATTGGAAATCGCGGATTTCCGCCGCCGAGCGAGGCAGCACTGGCCGCACGTTGGAAGAGGGCACATCCCCCGATCCATGAATTTGGCGACCGCGCGCCAAATCCATGGATCGCTAATCCTTGTTTGCGCGCCCCCGAGAGCAGCACGGCGCACATCCGCATCTCTCCTCTCCCCACTCGCTGCCGCTGGCCCCAGAGCTCAAAAAGCTCGAGAGGTCGCCTCTCGCCCCACCCAATCCTCCTCGAGGCGGGTTCGGTGGCAACTCATGGGAGCATCCCATGCCATCTCGCTGGATCTTGCCAATCGGCGCTGGCCGACGCTAATCGACGCTCACCGACGCTACATCGACGTGAATCGACGCCACATCTGTGCTTTCTCATGGACTACCAGGCGCTGGCGCAGGCTCGCGCACTCCAGAAGCGGAAGGGCGAGAACAGAGAGAAGGCCCCCCCAATTCGCTGCCGAAGCAGAGGGAGCGGAGCGGGAGTCCAGCCTGTCCTCGTGCCCCGCAGCCAGGGCCGCACTCTCGGCGAGGGGAGAGGCCCCCTGCTGGCAGGGCGGGGGGCAGGTGGGGGCCGTCCTCGCCGCCCTCCTCCTCCTCGGGCTCCCCCTTCATCTGCCGCAGGAAGTCCGCCAGGTCCCCGCCGTCCTCCCTCTTGACCCTCTCCTGGCCCGACGGGGGGGGGGGGCAGGGGCGGGAGGGCCAGAGCCACGGCTCGTGCCCGCGGCATGGCCGCGCCGTTGGACGCTTGGCTCACGGCAACGGTGGGCCGTCTGCGGCCTCCGGGGGCCCTCGCGGGGCCCCGGGAGCGTCCAAAAACTCCGCGGGAAGAAGAACCGGCCCCTGGGAGAGGGTCGGGGCATCTGGGGGCGCCGCATTGAAATAATCCGGACGTCGCGTGTCTGGCTGGGTGGAAATACTCCGGACGTCGCATGTCTGGCTGGGGCCGACGGACCGAAAGTCTCGTCGGGCATCCCCGCCTCCGCGTGTCCCATCCTTCCCGTCCGTCCGAAGTCCCCCTCCCTCTCCCCCTCTCCCCTCGCACTCCCCCCTCCCCCTCCCCCTTTCCCCCTCCCCCTCTCCCCTCGCTCTCCCTCCCTCTCCCCTCCCCCCTCCCCCCCTCCCCCCCCCCTCCACATTACTCAATATGAAAATACTCTCCCTCTTCCCCTGATGGCGTCCGGGTGATGGCCGCGCATTCTCCGCGTGCTGTTTTTTAACACACAGGATGCCCGGGAAATCCCGGGAAACGACTCTCGCTGAGGCGCCGGCGTCATTTTCGGGCCGAGCGCCCCCCGCGTACTGTTTTTTTTTACACACAGGATTCCCGGGAAATAGGTTTTCGCCTGCGTTTTTTTTATGATGCTCTCGCTGAGGCGCCGGCCTCATTTCTGCTCCCGAATCGTTCCGAATCGTGCTCCCGCTGCAGCGTGGGCCTCATTTTCGGATCGGTGTTTGGCCTCCGTCGTTCAGGATGGCGTTCTCGCCCCAGCGCGGGCCTCTTTCTCGCGCGCCCATCCGCCCGCCACCACCGCGCCGCACCACCACCACCACCACCACCACCACCACCACCACCACCACCACCACCACCACCACTACGCACGCGCGCGCGGAGCCACAGGTCCGCTACGACACGCGTCCGCGGATAGAGAAAATCAGCGCCATGGTAAGGGATGGGAGGGAGGGGTAGGACGTCAGATATGACGCGAGCGCACCTAGCTTGCCCTCTCCCCCTCGCCCTCTCCCCTCATACTCCCCCCTCTCCCCTCCCCCCCTCCCCCCCCCTCCCCTCCCTCGGCCTTGCCAGCTCCCTGCGGCCCAGATGCTGCCACCCACCGCCATACCAGCGCAAGAGGAGCCCTGTGGCAGAAGAGGGGAGGGAAATCGACAGCAGGAGCAGAGGGCGAAGAACCCACCCCCAGAAATCACCACCCCGACAAGCGAAGCCGTTTGGTAAACGCACCCGAGGAAGGAATCGAACAGGGCAGGGCTGCTCAGGAAACGCCCTGCACAGGCCTGGACACTGGGAGGTCCACACGCGTTTCGGGAGTCGGCGCCATGGTCCCCTCGGGCGACGCCGCAGGGCCACCACCACCTCCCTAAGGAAACGGAGCGAACCCCGTGCAGCCCCCAGAGCCTCACGGAGCTCCGAGAGACGCCCCAAAAAACGCTCAAAAAACCTCCTCGAGCCGCGGTCTGGCCTGCATGGTCGACCCTCGCCTTCCAGGGAAGGGGGTGGTGACCCCCCCCCTGGGTGGTGCCCACCCCCTTGGCACGGCCCGCAGGGGAGACGCGGCGAAGGGCGCGCGAGAGGCGCGCTGGGCGCCCGCTGGGGGCCAGCAGGGGCCCTCGAGGAGATGGGGACACATCGAAACCTCCTCCTCTCGAGGGGGGAGGAGGAGGAGGAGGAGGAGGAGGAGGAGGAGGAGGAGGAGGAGGAGGAGGAGGAGGAGGAGGAGGAGGAGGAGGAGGAGGGGAGGAGGAGGAGGAGGAGGCACTTCTCCTCTCGAGGGAATGGCAGAGCTCTTCTCCCGAAACCGCCCCTCAGCAGCGGACGCGGAGGCGCGTGCGTGACGCGTCTGGCGCCGCTTAGACCGAAGGCGGCTGCTGCATGACGCGTCGACATTGGCGGACAGGCGGCCACTGCTATCTCGTTCCGGTCAGCGGGCTCGCTGGTGGGCGTGTTTGGGAGGAGGTCGTGAACACATCACGCTTCGATTGCGTAGGCCGCTTGGGCCGCTTCGGGGTCATGTCAGAGATTTCAAGCGTTTCGATCGCTTCGGACGCTGCGGACTTCTTGGGAAATTCGCGCGCAACGAACGTTTCGTGTGCTTCGGACGTATGGGACGTCTCGGACGCTTCAGGGGCTTCGGACATATCGGCCGTTTCGATCGCTTCGTGGACGCTGCGGGCGCTTCAGATCGACTCGGAGATTTCGGGCACCTCGGACGCTTTGAGGACTGCAGACGTCGGAGGCGGCCAACCGCGGGGCGTCCAAGAGGGGGGGCGCAAACCATGCCCGGCGGCACGTGGACGGCCCAAGGGGGGGGTTGTCGGGGACGCACGGAAACGAGAAGAGGCGCCACGAAGTCTGAGGAGACATCGTGGCCCCCGCCATGAGAGCCGCCCCCCACCCACCCCCTGGTCGTCCCCCCCCCCCCCCTCCTGGCCGCCTCCGAGAAAACGCTCCCGACGCTGCGGCGCGGGGGGCGGTCCGGGGCCAGGGCTTCTCTGGAGCCTCGCAGGGCTGGAGCGCCTGGGCCGCCGCCCCGGGGGCACCTCGGCCGCCCTGGCCGCGCCCCGAGGCGGCTGAAGGGTCCCGATTAGGGATCGCGAGCTACCGTCGCTCGGCTGCACAGAATCCCCCCCCCCTCGGGAAACTAAGGGAGGGAGGGAAGGGGAAGGGGGTGCAAGAATCGCCCCCCCCCCTCCTTCCCGGGGAGCCGGAAGGGCGGACGAGGGGGCGCCCCTGGGACCTTAGAGTCACAGAGTGCCCATCGGAATTCTAAACCGAGCCCAATAAGATTCAATGGGATTGGAGCAGACCCGAGATTCAGAGAATGCTGATTGGATTTGCATACGCCTTCAGTGGGAGCTCAGTTTAGATGGCCCCAGGCTCAAATGATTTCGATTGGGCTTGGATAAACCATCGCAAGGGAAATTGGAATGGAGCAGACCCCTGGATAAGAGGATTTCGGGTGGATGCGAATGGGGATCCAATCGAAATTCAATAGGAATGGAACAGTAACCAAATCCAGAGGATTCAGTTTGGATTGGAGTGGGAACCCAATCCCACCAGCCATCTGGGGGTGAGTGGTTTAACAAGTTTCCTCTTCCAACCCCCCTTCATCCCCTCCGAGGAGGGGTTTATCTCCCTGGCACGCGTGGCGCACCTCGCCCCAGCGTCGCGCACATGGGGTCGGTTTTTGTTCTTAGTGCTGTCCATCCAAAGACGACCGCTGAGCATGCTCAGACTCGGGTGTTACTTATGTGTTGGGAGGGCGGGTGGGAATGAGCGAGACGGCTTGCTATCTAGGGGGTGTCTTGACCCCTCCCCCTACCCCCTCCCCCTGGGTTTGGAAGGGGGGGGTCGCGGGTGGCTGCAGCGTCCAAAACGGCCTGGGCGCGGAAGCTAACATCACTGATGTACCAAGGTGTTGTCTATATTTTGCCGCGGGGGGGACCTAATCGGGGAGCTCCCCTCCTTTAATCGATCTCCTCCAAGATGGCCCCAAGATGGCTCCAAGGGTGCCCCAAGATAGTCGCAAGAGGTGCCCAGGAGGACCAAGAGGCCCCCACGATTCCCCCAAGAGGCCCCCAAGAGGCTCCCAAGAGAGCTCCATGATTCCCCCAGAAGCCCCCCAGAGGCACCCAAGACGCCCCAAGAGGCCTCGGCGAGAAGGCCTGGTTATACGAAGGTGTTGGTCACATGTTGGCCTCCCTAGGGGAGGACCCTGATTAAGGAGCCCTCCTTTTTTGGTCGATCTCCTCCTAGATGGCCCAAGGGTGCCCCAAGGCGGCCCCAAGAGGTCCCAAAGAGGCCCACAGAGGCCCCCAAGAGACTCCCAAGAAGCTCCAAGAGGCCACCCAGAAGCACCCAAGACGCCCCAAGAGGCCTCGGTGAGAAGGCCAACATCACTGGTTGTACGAAGGTGACGGGAGAATATACCCCGCAGTCAGGCGCCGAGGCCGCAAAAGACGGCCGAGCACGGGCTCAGCAAAGCCTCAGGGCTCGACCACCGCACGAGAAGATTCTGAATCGCGTGGATACGGATGGCAATGCGATCGACAAGAAGCCTGGAACACCTCGGGCCCCTGGCACAGGTCGACCCAGGTGAGCACGCAGCCGAGTGGGACCAGGAGCACATGCGTCGGCCGGAACCCCCTTTGGCAGAATACCACACACACACAAACAAACACACCCACACACACCCACACACACACACACACCGTGTATACCTTGACCCTCTGCCCCATCCAGAAGGAAGGACTACAAGCATGAGGTGGATGGGACCGAGAAGGTAAGAGGCTATAGAGGCAGCAATTGTCTAAGGCCACTGGACCTTTGGGAGCGTCCCGTCCTTACGCTTCTTCTTCCTCTTCGGCTCCTCGGCTGCATCTGTCTCCTTCCACGGCAACTAAAGAAAGATATCGCTAGCGGCCGTGCAAGCGCCCGTCGCCTTTCGTCAAACACCCGCCTGGTACTTGGGTTGTCCTCCACATCTGCCAACTTATACGGAAGCTGACCTGGCCTTGGCCAATCAAGACATGGAATACTTACCCTTCTCAGAACAGGCCGCGGAAGCTTCAAGTTGCCAGCACGGATGCGGACACCCCAATCGTTCATGTCCTCACGTCGCTTGCCACTTGATTTGCAGAAGCAACACACCCTTCTGAGCTTCTGTCTTTGACGAAGAAGACGGGAGCAAACGGCGCCACTGAGACCGTCAGTGGAGCCCCCTCAAAGGGCCACGAAACGTGTGAGGGTGTACGATATGGGCGGCGCTGGCGCATGCGAACGGTGCCACAAGGGCCGTCAGTGGAGCTCCCTGTAAAACCACAAAAGATGTCAACGCTGTGCCGAAATTGGTGGCGCGGACGCATGCGAACGGTGCAACTAGGGCCTTGGGTTGAGCTCCCTGTAGGGCCACGCAACGCGTGAGGGGTGCGCCGAGATCGGTGGCGAGGACGCATGCGAACGGTGCAACTAGGGCCTTGGGCGGAGCTCCCTGTAGGGCTACGAAACGTGTGAGGGGTATACCGACATGGGTGGCGCGGACGCGTGCGAACGGTGCCACTGGGGCCTTGGGTGGAGCTCCCGGTAGGACCACGAAACGTGTGAGGGGTGAGCCGAACCAGGCACGCGGAGGGCAGTGGCAGGGAAGGGAAGAGCGAGGGGGAGGAGGAGGCAGTGAGTGACGCGGGGCGCTGCCTCTTCAACACGAGGACCCAACACCACAGGAGGGTTGGGAAAAATGGGGGTTAGCGGGACACAACTGGACAAGCTTCACACTTCTAAAAACAAAGCGTGGGGCGTAATAGGTTTCCTGTCGAGGGCCGTCTCTCGTTCCCTGACTACATCAGGGCCTAAGTGCAGCGGCGGCAACTCGGGCAGCAGTTTATCGGCGAGAACCCCGACCGACCTGGCAACAATGAGCTGGCGGTCCAAGAGCTCCGATTATTATGCCCAGACGTTGGGATGCGAAGACGCGGCGACATTGGTGGAGGCGCCCACCAACCTTTTACCGATCCCTCTAAAGTGGTCTTGATCGTTGACCGCTTCGTCAACATTCAAGTGAGCCTTCACTTTGTAGACGGACAGAGGGGGGAAGGCTGGTGCCGATAAATCGTCACAGCCAGCGTAAAATTGATGCTGTGGCTGGTGTGATGGACTCAGGGCAACTGGGCATGATCCAGAACAGTCTGGCAATCAGCCTGTATGTTTGAAACCTGGGCAACGAACCGAGCAGCAGCACAAAAAAAGCGTGGTGTTCAGAACTCTGGGGTGTCTGTGGGTATGGAGGCCACACTGGGCCTCGGATCCTGATCATTTCGTGGTGACCCGATGACGAAGGCACCCCGCAAAAGCCCTGCCGAAGAAGAGCTCCTCGAAGCCCTCGCAAATCTCGGTAACCACCCCTTCTTCGAAAAGCAGCTGAGGAAACCGCTCAGCTGGATGGGGAAAGATACGGGAACAAACAAGAGCGTCGTTGGCCTCAGCTGCCCAAGCTTAGACCTGGGCGGGCACTCGATCGTTCCTAAGGCCTTCGCACGCTGGACAGTGGCACAGTCTGTGTCGCGGTGTAACAACAGCACAGCTCACATCCGGTGTCTATCCCGAGCTTTCTCGCTAGTCACTGTCGCGTCGCAAACCAAGGCTCTAATACAACCTGTTTTGAGGGGGGTCATCTTCTGCGATGCGGGCCAGAATAGGACGCCGCCAGCGCATGCACAACCCATAGTAAACCTGGCGTTCACCACGGAACGCGGCGCTCAAGCTGGCACACGAGAGGCACAGCACAAGAGGAGATCGACAGGGCCGACAAACCTGAACCAACATGAGCTTGAGTGGGTCTGGCATCGTCCCACACAACGCCGCCCGGAAGGGCGACTCCTATATGAGAAGCCCGCAGAGGACGTGAACACCCAGCCACGTGCAGTACTGCGGCATGTTCACGTCGCGATGACATCGACATTGGTTTCTGCCACCGCCTTGAACGACCACGGCTTTCCAACATCGCAGATCTGTCGACGTCGGCCGACCCCGGGCCACTGGCGGCGTTCAAGCTTGAACGCCCGAGCTGGCGTCACCGCCGCGGAAGGCGGAGCGAACATGTCGTGCGGCCGCTCAGTCCACAAGGCCAGACTCGTGTTCCGCACGTCCGCGCAACAGGTGCTCCCGAACCTGTTGGAACTCGTGTACGCGCGCGTCCCTTGTTTCGCTGCTGACAGACCCAGCCTCACAGCCGAGTCAGCGAAGCCTGAAGCATTCCCGCATGAAGGATGTGAGGAACGACGAAGAAGAGATGGGGGAGGAGGAGGAGGAGGAGGAGGAGGAGGAGGAGGAGGAGGAGGAGGAGGAGGAGGAGGAGAGGAGGAAGGAGGAGGAGGAGGAGGAGGAGGAGGAGGAGGGAGGAGGAGGAGGAGGATGGGAAGAGAGGAAGAGGAGGCGCAAGAAGACGAGGAGGAAGAGGAGGGCGGAGGAGGAGGGAGGAGGAGAGGAGGAGGAGGAGGAGGAACGCCCAGTGGCGGGTCGGCGACACGAATCAGGTTCAACGCGGCGGGCCGAGCGCGCGAGTGCCACTAGAAGAAAGCCATGCCACACTCCGCCCGTTCCTCCTCCTGCTCCTCCCCCTCCCCCTCATCATCCTCCTCCCCCTCCCCCTCCTCATCCTCCCCCTCTCACTCCACCTCCTCCTACCCCTCCTCCTCCCTCCTCCTCCTCCTCCTCCTCCTCCTCCTCCTCCTCCTCCTCCTCCTCCTCCTCCTCCTCCTCCTCCTCCTCCTCGTCTTCCTCCTCCGTCCTCCTCCTCCTCCTGATCCCCCCCCTCCTCCTCCTCCTCTTCCTCCCTCCTTCTCCTCCTCGTCGTCCTCCTCCTCCTGCTCCTCCAGCTCCTCCAACTCCTCCTCCGCCTCCTCCTCCTCTTCTTCGTATTACTGTTATTCCTCCTCCTCCTCCTCGGCCACCTTTTCCTCCCACTCCTCTTCCTTCTCGTCCTCTTCCTCCTCCTTCTCGTCCTCCTCCTCCTCCTCATCCGCCTCCTCTTGATATCATTTCTAGTATCGGTATTAGTCGCAGTATTACTAGTACCACTAATCATGTATTGTTATCGCTCGTATCATTGATGGTAGTAGCAGTGGTATGCTTAATAGTAGCGTTCGTGCTATTACTCGCGTTAGCGATAGTATTAGCATTGATAGTGTTACTAGTGGTATGGTTAGTGTGATCTGTGCTGCTCGTATCATTGTAATTCCTAGTATTACAAGTATAGCTAGCAGTCGTCGCATTCGCATTCGTATAATTACCCGTCTTCGCCTTATCAATAGTATTCGGTTTCGTCTTAGTACGAGTAATACTCGTCTTCGGTTGCGTCGTCGTCGTCGTCGTTGTCCTCATCCTCCGCATCCTCCTCCTGCGTGTCCTCATCATCCTCCTCCGCATCCGACTCTGCCTTCTCCGCCGCCTCCTCCCCCTCCTCATCCTCCGTCTACTCATACCCCTCATCAGCAGCATACGCACCATCAGAATCAGCATCATCATCACCACCATCACCCTCAACAGCAACAACAACACCAACACCAACACCAACAACAACAACAACAACAACAAAAACAACGACAACCACAACAACAGCAGCAGCAGCATCAGCAGCAGCGTCAGCGTCAGCATCAGCATCATCAGGACCGTCACCATCAGCAGCAGCAGCAACAGCATCCCCCGCATCGGCATCAACAGCGTCATCAGCAGCAAGCAGCATCAGCATCAGCAGCAGCATCATCAGCATAATCAGCATCAGCGTCAACTGCATCAACATCATCAGCAGCAGCAGCACCATCAGCATCGCCAGCATCAGCCTCACCATCAGCATTATCAGCATCATCATCATCATCATCATCATCATCATCATCATCATCATCATCAGCATCATCATCATCATCAGCATCATCATCATCATCATCATCATCAGCATCATCATCATCATCAGCATCATCATCATCATCATCATCATCATCATCATCAGCATCATCATCATCATCATCATCAGCATCATCATCATCATCATCATCATCATCATCATCATCATCATCATCATCATCATCGTCGCCAGCATCAGCAACATCAGCATCAACATCGGCAGCAACATCATCATTATCAGCCTCAACATCATCAGCAGTATCATCAGCCTCGTCATCGTCCGCATCACCAGCATCATCATGATCAGCATCGGTGGCATCATTAGCAGCGGCATCATCATCCGCCTAATACATATCATCCTCCTCCTCCTCATGTTCCTCATCCGCCTCGTCCACCTCGTCGTGTTCCTCCTCCTCCTCCTCATGATCCTCATCCTCCTCCTCCTCGGCATCCTCGTCCTCCTCGTCCTCCTCCTCCTCCGCATCATCCTTCTCTTCTGCCTCCCCCTGGTCCTCCTCCTCCTCCTCCTCCTCCTCATCCCCCTCCGCCTCGTCATCATCTTCCTCATCAGCTTCCGCAGTCCCCCTATCCTCATACTCATCCTCCTCCCCCTCCTCCTCTTCCTCCCCATCCCCCTCCTCCTCATATTCCTCCGCCGCCTCCTCCACCGCTTCATCCTCCTACACCTCCTCATCCCTCTCCTCCTCCCCCATCCTCAGCCTCCTCCTCGTAGTCCTCATCTTCCTCTTCCGCATCCGTCTCCTCCTTCTCGTCCTCCTCATTCTCGTCCTCCCCCTCTTCCGCCGCCGCATCATCCTTCTCTTCCACCGCGTAGTCTGAATCCTCTTCTTATTGTTGGCAGCGTTATTATCATTCAACGCATCGCGTATTAGTGGTACCATTATGAGTAGTAGGATTCCTCCTCCGCATCATCCTCCTCCTTCTCTTCCTCCTCCCCCTCCTCCCCCTCCTCCCCCTCCTCCTCCTCGTCATTCCCCTCCTCATCCTCCTAATCCCCAGCATCCTCCTCCTCCGTCTCCTCCTCTCCTCCTCCTCCTCCTCCTCCTCCTCCTCCTCCTCCTCCT